GTAGGGGCCTCAAGATCCTTAATCTTTTATGACTCTGCGCCTCTCCCATTCATTTCTATATTGTGCTGGTCTTTAATTAATTCACACATTTTAAGGTTTGGCAGATGCTCATCGTTATTGGTATTGCTGTTTTTGTCTGTTTAAATGTCTGTTTTGTCTGGTTGAAGGTGGATTCAATGCAGTATGTGCATTGGCGCTTCTACTTCGATCTGCCGCGTGAGCAGTTATTCCCATTAATAGTTCTGCTACTAAGATAGTTCCTTCAAAGCCTCAGCTTTGTGCAATACTTTGGTCATTCAGGGTTGGATATTCTTTGGTGCTTCTCTTTTTTACCTCCTATTCTTTGGCCTTTTCAGAAGGGCACTTGTTAAGATATTTGGTCATTCATTTGATATTTTATTGATGAGTGTATATATTCTGGCACCACCATTTGATCTCATGCAATGTGTTTGCAGTTGCATCCTAACTTGTCTTCACTTTGTCAGAGCCTAGATCTCTTTTAAGAGGTGGTTTTATGTTTCTTTGCTTGTGATTTAGTTCTCTGTAGACCATAAATGTGGCATTTTTGAGCAAATGTATTATGCAAATTCATTAAGCATCTTTTTTACTTGATTACATATGAATGGAATGGGTATTCAAGCAAACCAACGGAATCATGGATTTGGGCATGTGTGACAGTCAAAGAGGAATGGGAGTTGCCTTTGTAGAGTGTACGTCTTTCCTTTTGGTCTTGTCTTCATTGGAATGTGGACTGCTTATAGTAGTGTCCTGTTTTTTCTTGGCTTACCATTCTTCTTGGATATTGGGTCTGTATATTGTCAGCTTGCTTGTGAGGCTCGGTTGAATGGGGGATGCTGTTGGTACTTCTTGGCTTATGATTTATTTTTGTTAGATTTTATCAGATATGATTTGCGCAAAAAGTTTTGTGCAGCAACGTTTGTCTTTTAACGGAGTCCTAGGGTTTAAGGAGGAGTGGGAATGTGGTATGCAGATTGATGTCTTTGGATGCAGTGAAGTATCATTGGACCGTAGAGCAGCACTTGCTGACACATAAACTGAGTATGACTTTGATCTTCATTGATGGAACTGTTCTTTGAGGGGTTGTGAGATTTGATTTTGTCGTTTACATAGTATCTTATTTCCAATTTGTGTCGAAGTTTTATTCATTAATCTCTTTTTAGCCGAGGTTTACTCATCTTCAGGTTGACGGGATTGATTTGTCAGCTAAAATGGATCGGATGACTTGCTTTCATTGTCTTTGGATTTCAGCGTTTAGATCTTAACTAGCTTATCTTCCTATGTCTTGCTCAATTTTTCCAGAATATGGGCTGAGGGTTGATTCTTCCTTTAATTTAATTGCTTCTCTCAAAATCTCTTTTCATATATATAAATTTTTCTCTTGTACAGGTGCTAATATTCATATGTACCTTTTTGGATTTTATAGCGTTGGAGGTGGTGGTTTGTGGTCTGCTAAAGGGTTTGGCCTTTGTCTTAAACATAGTGACCTGCTGGCATCCTTTTGTTCAAGTGCCTGGTTTGCTTTTGCTGTTGCTTTTGTTGTGGCATATTACTTTTTTTTCTTTCTGGCAGGCTAAAGTTGCTTAAGTTTGTGATGGATCAGTATGTTGGATACTTGAAATTTCTGGGCAGAGTAGTCCATTGTAGAAGGTTGGGTGTTTTTGCTTGAAGAGTGCTCATCCGTTTAGGTTACACATGGGGTTGTTTGACAAGTAAACAATCTGGCATAATTATATGGGTCGTGTTTTATGCAGAAGCAGTCTCATTCTTTGAGGGCTTCGTCTCAGATTCAAGTTTATGCACAGAGCTGATAGAACTGTTTTTTTAAACTGCTGATGGAAATAGATGTGGTATGAAGTGTGTTGTTTCCCTTACCTGTCTTCTTAGTTCCGTCAGCTTATACTTTTTTCTATAACTGTTCCTTTAAATAGATTTTGTGTTCATTTGGGTGGCTTGATAGGATCTGTCGTTCTTTTCTTCATTTGGTGCTTCTTATGCGTAGTCCAACTTATTGAACATTGCAATTTAACATTTTAAAAGCATTTGAGTATTAATTAAATTGTTATTTGTTGGTATCAAATTAGACATTTTGAACTTTGGTGTGTTTTTCATATTTATGTCCTTATTAGTTGCTGGGTGTGTCTCTTTTATTGGTTCAATAATGCTGTGGTCGAGCGTCATTCGACTATTCCGAGCTGGTTACAAAGAGATGATGGGGATGAGAGATTACATTTAATGTAATACTTATCTCTAATTTATGACTAAGTAATGAACTTACAAATAGAACATGTAATGTATTGAAAGAATGTAGTTCTGGTTTGTCATTTTGGAATGAGCCCATTATGTAGATTGCTTATTCTGGGAGAGAATTTTTGTCTTTTTTTTTGTTACAAGGAGATTTCTAAACTATGCAACATTTCTCTTGTAGTTTTTCTTTTTGGATATTTGAAGTATATTTGTTATATCGAAGTTGCTTGGTTTTTGCATATAGGGTCGGAGTTTTTGGAGTTCTTTGGACATTTGAACTATGACATTGTTCTGTTGCTTATCAATTGTATAATGTCAACTTCTTGGTAGCTTTTTCTCTTTTAGATTTGTTTGGCTTTTAGAATGATGGTTATGTTATGTGCCTTGTGTGTAGTTAGTTAGGTTTTAAGGGATGTAGCTCAAAATGGTAGAGCCTCTCAGCTTGTAACCTTATGAACAAGTTACAAGACTTACGAGGAGATCAAGGTTCAAATCCTTGCGTCCCTGCACATTAACATATTTGATAGTTTATGAACTGCCTGTGTATGGATTGAAAGAATCTAAACCCTTGCCTGTGTATCTGTGGTTGCTGTTGATGTGCAGATGCTGTTGGTAGCTGACTAAAATGGTGGTTTGGATGATCTGTGGACTTGAGAACCTCAATTGGCTGATTTTCCGGTTTACCACAAGATGTGGTTTATTATGTAAAAGCTTCAGAAAGCTCAAGTTTGTAATACCAATTATGTTAATCTTCAAACTTGTTTGACGAGATATCACTGTCTTTATGCCTCTTGATCTTCTAGTTGTTAGTCAACCTCTGCATCTCTAATTCGTGTTTCTCATTTATTCATTTCATACACTTTCTCACGTACACCTTCACATTTGTATCTAAAAGGAAACAAAATTGCCCTAAAGGGATAGGACTGTACAAGATCCAAACCAATCCACCAAAACCAACTAATCCAATTCAATTCAATTCAATTTTATTGGTTTTGATAATATTCATGGATTGGATTGGATCCAAAAAATGAAAAACTGATTGGATCGGTTTGGTTAGCAGATTTAGGGCATGTTTACGTATCGGTAATGGGTATGGGAGGAAAGGAAATAATTTTCATTCCTGACTTCCCCTGCGTTTACTTGCAATCAGGAATGAAAAAATAAGTGGGCCCCACCTCAAAATCTGTAATCACATTCCCTCAAAACTGGGTATCAGATCAACTAGGGGGAGTAGTCGATACGATTTCCATTCCTATTTTCTCTTATTAACTTCCAAAAATACCCTTACTACTTTACTATAATTCCAAAACAACTTAAACCCTAAAATAAAAATAAAAAAAATTACACGCTAGAAGGAGAATACATGCCAGAAGGAGTTCAAACAACTCAAACCATTAACGTTGCAGACACAGCCTCCCTGAAGCAACAGAAACTATGTAAGTCACTCAATCTATCTATCTATCTACCTTTTTCTTCTTCTTCTATCTTCTGTCTTCACAATTCAACCCATAGTGATTGCTGCTGTTTGGAGTTTCAATCAATGGATATGTGATAATTACTACATACGTGATAATTACTAGAGTCTCCCTTCCACTCTATAATTCTACATAAGGGATATGTGATAATTACTACTCTTACCACTTTACTATTGTTGTCATACAGAACAAGGATTAGGCTTAGGTAACCAATATTCGCATTGTGTTGATCAGAAAAGGAAAAGAGAAAAAGCCTTCATGCCATAGATCAATTGTTTCTTTTTTGTTTTAGTTTTTGGTTTTTCCCAATATCCTTTTACAGGTTTCGATGTATTGTGTTGATCAGAATCTTTTCACATATGTTAAACTGTTTTTCATATCATAGATATATTTTTGCATGTCTACAGCAACAACAAAAAAAAAAAAAAAAAAAAAATTTTTTTTGTAATACGTAGGTTTTAAAATTTTATTTCTTTGCAGGGGAGTTGGCAAAATAGATAGATGCCTTGGCAAAAGCGATGGACAACCATAGAAGTGGGGAAAATCTTAGCAATAAGGTAAGTATTTTGTAATTTTTGTTTTACGTTTTGATATCTTGAATAATATATATATATATATATTTTAATGTCATGTAGACAAATGGCTCGATTAAGTTTGTCCACAAAGAGGAAACTACGTGTTACTATAAATGCTTTGATTGTCTACCTTCGAATAATATTTGTTGTATGTGCTGCGGGTTATGTCTATGCATGCTTAGCTTATCGAAAAAGTCGTTGACCAAGTCTTCCTTCGGTGATAAGAGTTTACAAACAACTAGAATACCTACATGGACTAGTTTATGAGAGTGATACTACATGTGTTGACCAACTAAGGATGGATAGACAATCTTTTCATAAGCTTTGTCAAATTTTGGTCACTAAAGGAGAACTACGATCGACCCGAAACATGAACAACTAATGTGAGTACATGTTTTTAAGAACCTTTTTATTCATTTATTCATTCATTTTTTAGAGCCGGAATGTTTTTCATCACTTGTATAGCAGATTCATTGTTTTTCATCACCTGTATCTTTTTTTTGTTTATTTTTTGTAGTAGATCATTTATTGTCATGAGTTCTACTGCTACTTCAAGTGGAAAAGTAAGGGGAGGAAGGGGACAAAATAAGCGCTATTGGACAACTAAGGAGGATAACATATTGATGGAATGCTTGATGGAACTCCATCAGAATACCAATTGGCGAGGTGACTCGGGCTTTAAAAATGGATACTTGAATAAATTAGAAACTATGCTAGAAGTCAAACTTCCGAATTCTGGGTTGAAGGCATCACCCCATATTGAATCAAGGGTGAAGACTTTGAAGGGAAAATATGGTGCTTTAGCTGATGCATTATCTCAAAGTGGTTTTGGGTGGAATGAAGAGGAAATGATGTTGGTATGTGAGAAAATTGTATTTGATGCATGAGCGAAGGTAAATCTAAGCATATCCTATTATGTGCATATCAAATGAAATACATATGTTATGCTATGTCTTTAATATTTATTTAAGAATACTAATGCAGATATATATATATATTGTAATTGTAGAACAAAAAAGATGCAAGTGGTTTGTATGGCAAGTCGTTTCCACATTACTATACACTTGGAGAGATATTTGGAAAATATCGTGCTATTGGAACAAATGTTGGAAATGCTGATGATGATGAAGAAGACGTTAGGCAAGATGATGCAAGTGTTCATCAGAATAGAAGTGTGGGTGATGATTTTATTGAGGAGATGTTTTCACATCCTGATGGTGGGTCACAATATGGGGGTTCAGAATATGAGGGGTCTCAATTTGATGATGTTGAGGATTTAGAAGATGATGAGAGAACTTTTACACAACCAAATCCCCAACCCTCAAGTGCCCAACAACGTGCCCAACAGAAGAGACCCGCACAAGATGTAGCAAGTGGTCCAAGTAATCCTCGTAGGAAGGTAAATGCTTTGAATGAAATGTCTAACAAATTTGGACTTATGGCTGAGGCTGTAGCAGGAAAGGCACCTCAGCTCAGGCTTGGTTAATGTTTTTTCAACAGAGAAGGATCTTGTTGATATGCAAGCTAAACTTGGTGGTGAATTGAGGAAAATAGAATTCCTATCTCCTTTGCAAGTATTTCGTATCACCAATATTTTAGCCAAAGAGCACGATTTGTTGAGGGTCTTCTTTACCATGACCGATGAAGAAAAAAAAGATTATGTATTTAATCTTATGGAGCATGGCTTACAGTGATTGTTATTGATGAGTAATGGGCAAATGACTTACTAGGTTCATTATATATCTCTTCTTTTGGTAGTATAACTTCAAAACCCCCTTACTAGGTTCCCTCTTACTGATAAATTCAAAACCCCCTTTCCAATAGTTGGGTCTGTTCTTTGCATATTTATTGTGAATAGAGAACTGAGATAAATGAGAGAACTGAAAACAGAAAACAGAAAAGCAACACATGCAAATGCAATTCAAAACAGGAACTAGGCAAAGCATCAAAAAACCAAAACACAAATTAGCAAAATTACGATCCATTGATTAAATTAAAAATGAACATGGATGACACTTGACACTCACAGACAGCAACACAATGACACGAACTCACATGTAGAAATATATCCATCACTTTGACTTAGGCACTCTTTATTTATACTACATATGTTGTCGTTCTTTTCCTTCTTCTTTACGTTCATCTCCTCTCCAATGTCTCGAATCCTTAAAGCTTGGCCTGGTCTTCACCGAGGCTCTGCTGCTGCTTCCTCTTACTTCACTTGTGCAAATCATGTTTACACCGCATTATTGAGAATTATATATGTGTTGTAGTGAAAATGTGTAGGGCATTTTAGTAATCAAATTAATTTGGATTTTGATTCATGAAAATTAGTAAACAATAACAATGGGAATCAACCCCATTCCTTAACTAATTTCGTATGTTTAGTAAACAGCGTAATGGGAATGATTCTTCTCATACCGATTCAGTAGTTCTCCGATTCCTAAATTCTCTGATTCATTCCCATACCCATTACTGATACGTAAACATGCCCTTAGAGTTTGAATTCCAATTCAAATTTAATTGATTCAACTTTTTAAAAAGAGGTGCAAATATTTACCTTTCCTAGTGTTCAAACCTAAACCACCTTTCACCTTTCACTTACACCAATACACTAACACAACTTTGTTGATAATCTTTTGAAAGAATATATTAATATACCATAAAACTTATACCTTTTGTTTAGATGAATGAATTGCAAATTACATAGAATTCTAAAATGACGGAATTTAGATTTCCGTCATTTCAATTTTTGGCAATTGAAGATTTCAATGTTTGGATTTATGTATGTCGAATTTTTTTAAATGACAGAAATTGAAAATTTCAATGTTTGGATAGCTCATGTAAATTGTAAATGACAGAAATTAAATATTTTGATATCTTGGTCTTTCTTCTGCTGACACTATTACCGGAATGTGAGTTCCATCAAGTGCCCCAATACAATTCTAAACATGAAATATAAAACAATATAAGTATGAAACTTAAGATAACTAGTTGAAAAATAAAATAAAAATATATTTTTTTCTTCTAGTTATATAAGTACTTCAAACCACTGTCATTTGCTTCTTTCGGAACTCCCAACAGTACTTGGCTAGAATTTTACGTATTCTTCACAAATTCTCACCATTGCATATAAGACTCTGATAAATTGCCTATTAATTGTTTCGATTGAACGGTAATAGTCAAAACCAATGACTCTGTATTTCAAGTCGTGAGCAATTATTTTCAAAAATATTGCTGCAGATTCTTCAATTGAAATATTTCTTGTTCGAACCAACCCACCATTTTCTTCTAAAATTCTACATAACTTTCTTAATGCACTTTTGCTAATTCGGAATTGATCAATACAATCAACTTCTTTTCCATTGTACATACGGTTCAAATAAGATCGCATTTCTTCATCCCAATCATGTGAATGCTCTTTAACACGAAAATTATCATAACACCATTGTACTAGCATAACCATAAAAAAGATCATTGTATAAACAATAATTGTGAAATGAATTTTGGCGTTTAAAAAAAAAATGAAAAGTTTGGCGCTGTTTTTTTAATGTAAGTTTTGGCATACTGGAAAATATGAATTTCCGCACTATGGAAATTGTGAAATGACGCATATTTTGGTGGAAATTAAACTCGGGAGTTTGATGTTTCAATTTCCACGATTTTTTCCGCGCGTCATTTAATAAATTCCATGCTTAAGTTGCCAAACAAGGAAATTGTCAA